TCCAAAGTCGGACGCGCCCTCACGCACACTTACAGTACACGACGATCAACCGAAAAAAAAAAAAAAAAACCAGATCCGAGTTTTTCCTTCTTCAACCAGCAGCTTCTCCAGTTTTTGTGATCAATCCTTGGAATTTGTAGCGGCTAACTGAGGTCTATTAGCTCCCAGTTTCATTAGCCTGTCAAAAATCCAAAGGTGGAAAAGCACACCAGCAAATGGAAACCATAGTTGTAGATAGTGGATCCAGCCACACTATCTTAAGAAACAAAAGTTACTTCATAAACCTAACCTATCAAACCGCAAATATTAGCACCATCGCGGGTCCCTCAAACCTTATCGAAGGATATGGCCATGCCTATGTGTTGCTATCAAATGGCACATAACTTGAAATACCAGATGCTCTATATTCTCCTAGTTCGAAGAGAAATCTTCTGAGCTTCAAGGATATAAGACAGAATGGTTTCCACATAGAAACCCAAGGTCAAGGGAACAAAGAATCCCTCCTAGTCACTAAAACCGTAGACGACCATAAACAAATCCTCGAAACCATACCCGCGCTCTCTACTGGACTTTACCATGCTAAAGTCAGTATGATTGAAGCTAATACCACTCTCAAAGCCCGGTTTACTGATTATACTATTTGGCACGACCGGCTCGGTCATCCCGGTGCAAATATGATGCGTAAACTAATTCAAAACTCTCAAGGGCATACCCTCAAAGAAAACCGAGCTTATCCTCAACACCTCATGTGCACAGCTTGTTCTCAAGGCAAATTGATCACTCGGCCTTCACCAGTTAAAATCTCTAAACAAACACTTCATTTCCTAGAAAGAATCCAGGGCGATATCTGTGGACCTATACATCCATCTTCCGGACCATTCCGGTACTTCATGGTCCTTATAGACGCATCGACCCGTTGGTCATATGTTTGTCTCTTGTCCTCTCGGAACCAAGCCTTCGCTAGGTTCTTGGCCCAAATCATCAAATTGCGGGCCCATTTCCCTGACTTCCCACTAAAGACTATCCGCCTTGACAATGCTGGTGAATTTACCTCACAAGTGTTTAATGACTACTGTATGGCCATGGGGGTAACCGTGGAACATCCTGTAGCACATGTCCATACTCAAAATGGATTGGCTGAATCATTCATTAAACGCATTCAATGGATAGCCCGACCATTACTCATGAGATCAAAGCTCCCAACCTCAGCATGGGGACATGCAGTATTACATGCTGCTGAACTCATACGCATCCGGCCATCTAGTGAACACAAATATTCCCCATCCCAACTACTCTCGGGTCATGAGCCAGACATCTCCCATCTCAAAACATTTGGGTGTTCAGTATATGTACCCATTGCTCCACCACATCGAACCAAAATGGGACCTCAAAGAAGGATGGGAATATATGTTGGTTTTGACTCTCCCACCATCATAAGATATCTCGAGCCAACCACTGTAGATCTCTTCAAGGCCAGATATGCGGATTGCCAATTCGATGAATCGGTATATCCCTCTTTAGGTGGTGAGACAAACAAGCTGGTCAAAGATCTTTCATGGAATCAAACATCATTAAATTGGCAAGATCCTCGGACTCTAGAATGTGATTCAGAGATCCAAAAGATTATTCATTATCAAAAGCTAGCTAATCAATTGCCAGATTCCTTTGCTGACCCGACCAAAGTAACCAAATCGTACATCCCAGCTTGTAATGCACCAGTACGAATAGCTGTCCCAACGGGACAGACCCAAGTTGCTACAGAGTCTGCACCACGTCTCAAACGGGACAGACCTCTCGGTTCCAAAGATAAGAATCCCCGGAAATCAAAGAAAGGTGCAATAACCGAAACCGGGATTCCTGCAATATCAGACATAGCCGCGGCTGAGACTCAATCTAATGAACCCTCAATGGAAGTTCGGGACGCCGAATCTCCAGGTTCAGAAGATAACAATGAGATCTCCATCAATTACAATATGTCCGGAATACAATGGAATCGAAAAGAAGTCGACTTAAATGCACTCTTTGCATACAAAGTAGCACTTGATGTTGCGCTCACGCAAGAGGATCTAGAACCCACGTCAATAACACAGTGTACACATCGAACAGATTGGCTAAAATGGAAAGAAGCCATAAACGTGGAGTTAAAGAGTCTCAAACTCAGAAACGTGTTCGGTCCGATCATCCGGACCCCATCACACATCAAGCCAGTGGGCCACAAATGGGTCTTTGTGCGTAAAAGGAACGAACTCGGTGAAGTCGTTCGATACAAAGCACGGCTTGTAGCACAAGGATTCTCACAGAGACCCGGAATCGATTATGAGGAGACTTATTCTCCAGTGGTGGATGCAACAACATTCCGATTTCTCATAAGTCTGGCCATAAGAGAAAATCTTGATCTGCGGTTAATGGATGTTGTAACCGCATATCTCTATGGGCCCCTGGACAACGAAATATATATGAGACTCCCAGATGGCATTGAACTAAAAGACAAAAATGCATCTCGAGATCAATACTGCATCAGGCTGAACAAATCCTTGTATGGACTGAAACAAAGTGGGCGTATGTGGTACAACCGCCTCAGCGATTACCTCATCAAAGAAGGCTACAAAAATGACCCCATCAGTCCATGCATCTTCATCAAGAAGTACTCAAACAAAGGATTTGTAATCATAGCAGTATACGTGGATGATCTAAACATCCTCGGAACATCTGGTGAGATCTCCCAAACAGTCGACTGCTTAAAAGCAAAATTCGAAATGAAAGACCTAGGCAAAACAAAGTACTGTTTGGGATTACAACTTGAGTACATCAAAGGAGGAATCCTTGTGCATCAATCGGCTTATATCAAAAAGGTACTCAAGCGATTTAATATGGACCAAGCTCACCCATTGACCAGCCCAATGGTAGTTAGAAGCTTAAGTGATGACCCTCTTGGTCCCAAAAAGGATGATGAAGAAATCCTTGGTCCTGAAAAGCCATACCTCAGTGCTGTAGGAGCGTTAATGTACCTGGCTAGTCACACTAGACCAGACATATGTTTCGCCGTGAACCTCCTCGCTCGATATAGTTCATCCCTAACTCAGAGGTACTGGAACGGTATAAAACATCTCCTAAGATACCTTCGAGGTACTCAAGACTTAGGACTCTTCTATACTAACCAAAATAAAGATGGGTTAGTCGGCTTCGCCGATGCAGGATATCTATCAGATCCGCACACTGCCAAGTCTCAAACTGGCTACGTTTTTACGCATGGAGGAACAGCCATCTCTTGGAGATCAATGAAGCAGACACTCACTGCCACTTCATCAAACCATGCTGAAATCCTAGCCATTCATGAGGCTAGTAGGGAATGCGTCTGGCTGCGCTCCATGACTCAGCACATCCGCAGAGATTGTGGTATGGACGAAGACACACAGCCCACGGTGATGTATGAAGACAACGCGGCATGCATAGCTCAGCTCAAGGAAGGATATATCAAAGGAGATCGGACGAAGCACATTCTACCGAAGTTCTTCTCAACCTCAGACTGGCAGAAGGACGGCACTCTCAGCGTTCAGCAGGTCCGATCCAGTGAGAATTCAGCTGACCTCTTCACCAAATCATTGCCTACTTCAACACACCGGAAGCTCGTCAAACAGATAGGAATGTATAGACTTAGAGATCTGCAGTGATGCTACAATCAGGGGGAGTAATGCGTGTTGTACTCTTTTTCCTTCACCATGGTTTTGTCCCACTGGGTTTTTCCTGGTAAGGTTTTAATGAGGCAACATTCCCCAGCGCATTATCGAGATCCCGATTGAGTAGCTGGCCCGGTTCACTCGTCCAAGGGGGAGTGTTATAACACATATCATATATGGACTCTTATACCGGCCCATTAGGCCCATCAGGGCATTGTACTTAACCTAGATTCCCTATGTACTCTATATATACATTCCAGTGATTAATAAAGTTTTTAAGTTTTCACAACAATTATTTATATTTTAAATAAATTAAATAATTTTTAGTAAAATATTTGATAGATATTTCACGAGACGTATGACACGAAGCCTGGTTATTTATAATTGAAAAATATTTAACTAAAACTATGCATTCAATATTTCTATCTCTGATTTTTATACTTTTGGAAAAAATTATTGTAATTTAACCATTTAAAAAAACATTCAAGATAAAAAATTCTTATTGTTTGCAAAAATATTAATTACAAAATTTTCAAATATAATGCAGATGGAATTTGGTTGTTACCTATTATAATTATCAAATATAATTTGCAGTTATTTCTTTTTATTATTGATTATATAATTTGGTAGGGAACGTTTGATTACATAATTTGGTAGGGAACGATTAGTCTTTATATAAGATGAAATGTCTTCCATAACATTTTACTCATCATTTTTTAAAAATATCATTTGATCTAATTATAATCTTTATTTTCCAAAATTATTTTTTCCAATTTAATCTCTGATTTTAAATTTTTGAAAAATATTTAAAAATAAAAATAAATATCATAAGACTTTACAAAAACATACTAAGTTGTTATTGTTTTAACAATAAAAAGTGTTGTAATCGATTTAAAAGTTAGTAATTTATTTCATTTAATTTTATGATTCCTATTATTTATGTTCATACATAGTTTTTTTTTTTAATAATTATTAGAGTTAATTTAATTATTCTAATAGTAAAATATACTATATATAACATTATATATTATAATTTTATCTCTATACTGTTATCAAAATGATTTTATATCTATATAACAATATAGTTTACATTAGTATAATATATTTGTTTTAAAATTTTAAAGTTTTATTGTCCATACTTTTATTTCAAACTTAGATATTACAAAAAAAAAAAAAAAAATTGTTGATATCTCACTTTTCTCACGGATTATTACCTAGTTGTTTTGGTAAAACACAAAACAGAATAAAAGATTAATGTTGATATTAATGATATTGCCGTAAGCAGAATAAGTCTCCAAGTGCATTGGCTACATCAAGAATCTTCTAGCCTGATCCAGCCAACAGCCACCGGCCCAATGAATCTGTTACCTCTGAACAGAACACTTTCCATAGTATTACAGAACCAATCCATTCCGGTTCCAACAAGTATCTATCTCCTCTGCATACGCTCCTCATTATTGCTTTCGCACACCTCTCTGCTGATTCCACTGGTAATACATTTATTTGTACCTAGTTCATAACACATGAACTATTCAAATTTACGTAAAATAATTTTGTATTTTCAAGTTATTATCCGTGAAATTAAAAAAAAAAATAATAATAATATTTATTTGCATGACAAAATATTCTTGCCTAAGTCTAGTTCATATGAATTACTTGGAATTTAAATATTGCATTTCAACTTTATTCCTTTAGTTACAAATTTTTAATCCTTTTTTGATTATCTTATTACTCCTAAAAGTAAGTTCGATCATTCAAGAACATACTACATTAAGCCAGGAATACTTACATCTCTGAGCTCTTTGTCGACTACGAGTTCACCATTCTTTGTCATGAACTTGCCTCGAGTCATTTCTGTGTCAATCACCCCCGGGGCTACTATCGTAACCCCAATCTCTGATCCAAACTCAGTTCTTATACTTTCGTAAAAGGCGATCACTGCAGCTTTACTCGCCTAAATCCATTACCAGAGAATGAAAATATAAGATTAATGTTTGAGACCTCAAATGTTTAGTAAGTACGAAATAGGCAAATGGAAACACAAATGATACACAGTAAAAGCTCAATCTAGGTGAAGAAATGTATCCACATCCGGAAGCAATCACCACAATCCTTCCTCTGGTCTTCTCCAAGAAGGTGCAATAAACAGATCCCCAAAAGTTTATGTCCTAGGAAAAGAAAAAACCAATTACAATCGATTAGTAGAAAAAACCAATTATTATTATCTAAGGGAATATTTGGTAAGAGTAAATTAACCATAGCCGGTGAAGCCTTTGAGAGATCGTCAATGTCTTCAAATAAATAGAGTGGAGCAACTCCTGCGTTTGTCACTAGATGATCCACTACCCAAAATGAAACACCAAGAAATTAAAATATATACACAACTTGTACTATAATTTTGGAATATATAACAATGTTGCGTTTGTACTATAACAAACGCCAATTTATATATGTTTGCGTTTTTCTAGATTTACATCTTTGAAAAGTAAGACATTTTATATGCTTTTATGTAAAGTGTAAACGTTAATAAATTAGAGGTTATATAGTTCAAAATGTTTGAGAGGCAAAGCTGAGCCTTTGAGAGGCAAAAATTCTCCCAAAGAGTTCGCCCTAGCCGCCACAAACTTGAAAGCTCCGTTTTCTCTCTCCGGTGGTTGTCTCTAGCCGGAGAGAGTCCTTCTTCTTTGTTTTCTCTTTTGTGCTTCACTTCTGGCCTGGGCTGAGGTAATTGTTAGGTGGATGTCCCTTTTCTTCTTTCTTGCGATGCGGTGCCATGGACAAGCGGCGGAGCTGTGACGGATCGATGGTTCGGAGACGCAAACGTTGCTTCACGACGTGTTCATGATCCAGTGAGGTGCCTGCTAGAGGACGGCGGAGCTAAGCTCGGAGGAGTTCGCGGAGTGAAGATCTTAGATCTAGATCTGCGGCAGAGAACAGTTTCGTGGGCTTCAATTTGGTTGTGTCGAGGTGTGTTGGCGGGGACAAGTGATATGATCGTGACCAGCTCTGAGGAGGAGGAACCAGAGGTAGCTGGCAGAATCACTTGTTCCAGAGCTAGAGAGATGGTTAAAGAGGCTCACGCACTCATGGCCGCAGAAGACATTGATCAACTGGAGGCTGGAGCTCACATCTTCAACATCTCTATTTTGAAGAATGAAGAACGCAGTAACAATGACTAGTAACTTAGGTGATGATTATGTACTCTTTTCCTTGGTGAGGATTTTGGAAGGCAAGGAGGTTCTTTTCCAAGGTTTTTAACGAGGCAGAAATCATTGCTACGTCGAGTTACTTAGAAGTTGTTACTAATGGGTAATAACGTGCAAAGTCACAATGACTTGTGCACTAGTTGTTTTAAGCGCACCACTTAGGACTTAGAAGGGACGCTTCACTGTTTTATTTTTAAATCAAACTTCGTGTTGTTTTTATTTCAAACTTCATGTAGTTTTGTATTAGGGCTGCGAATTTCTCTCTTAGACTATAAATTAGAGAAAATCGCCTAAGTGCTATTCAGTGAAGAATTTTGATCAAACTTTTAACGTGTTCTTCTCTCTTTGATTTCTGAGAACTAAAAACTCTGAAATTCGAATCTCTTAAAAACTAATTTGTTTACAAGAGATTCTCCCATCTCTCCATTCCATCAATATCATCTCATCATCACCACACCATCAATCGATCTTCTCACCATCGCTACCATCTCAAACCATCGATCTGATCCACCAGCCACCATCACCACTCCATCGCATCATCGCTGCCATCCCATCCACCAAATCGCCACATCTATTGCCCCTTGCTTCAGAGTTGATCACCTAGGATCGTATCAACAAGCGGCAGAGCTGAGGCAGATCTATGGTTCGGAGACGCAATCGAAGCTTCTCGACGTGTTCATGATTCAGTGAGGTGCCTGCTATAGAACTGCAGAGCTAAGCTTGGAGGAGTTCATGTTGTGAAGATCTTAGACCTATATCTGCAGGAGAAATCAGCTTTGTGGGCTTTGGAGGTTGCGTCGCGTTTGGAGGAGAGGGATTAGCGACTGTTTTCCTGATCGGTGTGTTTCATGATCCGGTGAGGTGACTGCTATAGGACGGCGGAGCTGAACTTGGAGGAGTTCTCACTGGGATGGTTTTTGTCGTGTGTTCCCCTTCTCTGGAGAGAAAGAGGAGAGAAAGAGCTGGTTGTCGGCGGAGAATCGGGTTGCAACGGTAAGAAGAAGTTTGATGTCGGCGTCTGAAGCTTGAGGACGGTTTCTCACGGCGTTGTCTTCTCCACTGCCGGTGGTTTCTTTGGTTTTTCAGCTATTTTATCATCTTTCAATTTTCTCAAACCAGTGCCGGTTATGCCTGATTTGGGTTGAGTAAACCATGTTTTTTATTTTAAAAAAAAAATGTAATCTTTCTTCTTTATTAATGAAAACCCTTTAACAAAAAAAAAAATAGTTCAAAATGATTTGACAAAATAGAAAAAAAAGAAATAGAGGTTATGGTTTCGTTTGCAAACGAAAAGAACATTAAACAAATTATCTAGAATCTAATGATCATAATGGACTTACATCGGCCAAAATGAAGAAACATGTCTCGGATAAAACGCTCGCAATCTTGCGGCTTGGAAACATCGGCGATGATGGGCATGAATTCAGGGGAGCCATAGAGCTCAGCGAGAGCAGCTACGTGGAAGAGAGGTTCCTCTCTTATGTCAACAAGTGCTAAATACGCTCCTTTCTTCCCATATTCATATGCTAAAGCCTACACATCTATACACTAATCAATCCCACTTTACTTACCCCTAACTCACTCAACTTCCTAGTTTCAATCTTCTATTGTTTATAAAACTTACCTCGCCAATGCCCGAAGCTGCTCCGGTGATGACTACCACTTTTCCGGCGACGTTTTCTGAGAACAGATTCTGGTAGATGGAGATGATGTACTTCAGCCTTTGGTAAATTGGGTAGAAGACAAAAAGCCCGTACAAGGCTAAAGGAGGAAACACAAAGTTTATGATCTTGTTGATTGAATCCATGCAAGAAGAACTCTCTGCTTCACTCTGATTTTTTCTTTGTTCTCTCCGCTTTCTATTGTTATTTTTTTCTTTTTTCGATTTATTTTGCCGCAAGCTCTCATGGCAATGTGGCAGTCCTACAAGCTGAGATGCCAACATGTGTTTCTCCATAGACTCTAGGGAAATTTGATGTCGTAGCGTAATGACAAGAGCTAATTAGGTGTCGAGGAGCTAATTTTTTTATGGGGTGGAAAGTACCCAAAACCCCCTCAGTTGCATTCTACTCTAACATATCTTTATAACAATAACGTATACGTTTTTTTGTTTTTCATTATGTCTGACATCTTTCTCTTTCATCAGCTTTAATTCAAAATTTTCCATCGAGTCTTTATAGTCAAGCTTCGGTCCTTGAAATTCAGTCTGAATTTCAAAACACTACTACCTCACCCAGATCCTCTCTTCTATAATTTCTGTGGTTCTCCATCTTACTTCGCCGACTCCGACACGATAAACCGGAGTTTGATACGGCGAGTCACTTACTTATACCACACCAGTCGTTATACCTAACTAGCTCTTCTCTGAAACTCCGGCAACGATGGACCGATCTTGCGAACCACCGTCTTTTTTTTCCGCAGCGAAGCTTGAAAGGTAAACTGTTAAGCTCTGTTTTTGTTTGGTCTGTTGAATGTTATATGACTTTACTCGCAGATACCGGTATATGTCGTCGTTAATTTCCAGGAGCTAGATTTCTTAACTTTTTCGAAGTTAGATCTGTCGTTATTCTTCCTATTTTTGGGTTCATAAACGTTTGGTTCCGTAGGCCATTTGTCCTGATTCACAGTTTTTGTTTTTTTTTTTCAAACGCTTTCCACTACCATTCTCACCCGTCATCCAGATCTGAATTTCAGATCTGAATAGTTAACCACTAAGTATGCCATTTACATTTTAAGCAGTAAATAAGTGTTTACTAGTGACCATATACTGAGTAGCTTACTATTCTTGCTAGTTATAGGTAACCATATACATGGTAGCATAATATTCGTTGCTTTTGTTTTTGAAGATCTGCGTTGTCCCAAGTACATCCCGATCTGGTACCACTGACAAATGATATTCTTTCTCAGATTCGCGATGCAGTCGTTGATATTTTTAAAAGAGTTGGTAGGAGTTCTGCTAAAGACGCTTGCTCATTTGCTTGTTCATGCAAATTCCTTAGCCAAACAATCAACGAACCATCTGTGATGAGGTTTCTCAACCTTACAGCTTTCGTGAGAAGGCCCAGTTTAGTTCAGAGCTACCCTTCATTCTTTGAGGCGGCGGTGACATCAGGTAATCCACTTGGTATGTATATCCGCGGTATGAGCAGAATCACTATGGCTAATGATATCGAAGGTTCTCTAAGGTTTTTCAACCAAGCGTCTAAAGCTGGAGTTCAACCGGCGACCTTAATGATGGCCATATGTGTAACTGCATTAGGTCACTACCCCATAGGCATAGAAATTTTAGACCGTGATTTTGGTTGGAGAGCAACAATTGAGCATATGACTCAGATTGGTGAGGAAGTTATGGCTTTGATCGACAAAATGGTGGTGCCTGATGCGCATACATCTTTACCCCATATTGCTGTTGATTTCCCCAGTTGCCGTATGAACCACCAGGGCAGATACTGTGAACTCTGCTACCTCTACGTTCACTACCACCTTGTGAAATTCTCTTTAGATCCATAGGTTGGATGTATTCCGTTTTGGACAATCCAAACATTTATCTGTAGTTGTCACTTCCTAAATGTAGTCGACTATTTATAATTGCTTTCTTTGTAGTTGAATACTCTTTCTAAATTATATCAGTTGATTTTATAATCAGTGTAATTGGCTATTTCATGTTGTAAAACGGTATCCTCTCTGTTAACATAACCAACGAAATCATTTGCAGCATTTGTAAGTATTTAGGCAGTTTAATTACTTCATATTGAGATGTAAACTGCTTGGGATGGAAAGGTAACCGTTTTTTTATTTAAAAAAAAACCGCAATAAATCTCACATTTATAGCCTCTTTTCTCCTCTCACACCTACGATTTTTTTCGCAACTGTCATTCCCCTCTTTCTCTTCCCTGTTCTCTTTCACATTCCCACTCCCTTTTCTTTAACCTAGAAAGACGCTCACACATCTTCGTCTTTTTGTTTGCGCCGGAAGCACCGTCCGCCGCTCCGAGTAACGACAACGGTCGCGTGCCACTCTCCATCCGAACCCATCTCTTCCGTGGTTAGTTTTCTTCTCTTGCTTATAGACCAATTTCCATTCTCGTAGATCCCAGCGTCGTCGCCGCCTTCCGTCGCACAACTCCCAATTGAATTGGGCTCTGTTATTTTAAGATTATGAACTACAAGTATCTAATTACCCTAGTAGTCGATTATTCGTCAGGTTGCTTGTGTAGGGTGAGCCTAATTACCCTATTTCATTTTGGGGATTTTTTGGAAGTACAGATCTATGTTTGGTGCCGCTTCGGTTACATTTTTTTCGAATTGGGCTCTGTTATTTTAAGGTTTACGGTCTACAAGTATCTAATTATCCTAGTAGTTGTTTATTCGCCAAGTTGCATGTGTAGGGTCAGCCTAATTACCCTATTCCATTTTGGGGATTTTTCGGGAGTACAGATCTATGTTTGGTGCCGCTTGGGTTAAATGTTTTTCGAATTTTTATGGGGTTGAATCACTTTTCCAATTACATGTCAACATGAATTTAAAAAGTTTTCGTTTAACAGTAATTCGTTATGGAGTTCAGATACAACCATGGACAATAAGGTCATCCGAATTTTGTATACGGTCAATATGTACAACCGAATATTTTTATATAGTAGTCAAACACTAATAGACGTTTATGTAATACATTTTACTAATTTCAATTGTTTCATTGTTTTTTTTTTCAGCTGATAAGTTATGACCAGGTTTCCGGATAGAATGTTTGCCCTAGGCAACGAACCGGAGAATAAGAAGGTGAACACCTACTTTCAGCTAACCTATCTTGACACAATCAGTTTTGCTCTCGAGGAAGACCATATGGAGAAGCTTTCATTGTCTCAGTTTGGAAAACTGATGGAAGCAGGTAACAAGATTGCTTCATCAGTTAGATTCCTTCACTTTATCTTGTCTCGGCAGCTAGTGACGAAGAAAAACAAAGAGCTTTGGTGTCTATTCGCTGGCCAGCCAATCCGTTTTTCTATTAGGGAGTTTGCTATTACGACAGGCCTTGATTGCTCCAAGTTGCCACCTGCGAAAAAGCTCAAAGAATACCAGGTCAATGCCGAGACTATTGAGTTGTTTGGTTCAGAGAAGAATGCGACTCCTGGATGGATTGCAACAACACTTGCTGGCAGACCATACAAGGACAAAGAGACTAGATTTAAGCTAGCTTGCTTACTTCTTATCGATGGGATTGTATGCCCAACTTCTAGGAATGCAAAGATAAGTGCCGAGCACATTATGATGGTGCAGGATGTTGATAAATTCCTGGAATATCCATGGGGTCGGAAATCTTTTGATTTGACCATACACAGCATCAAAACGAGGACGGCGACGACATCTTACCTTTGCCAGCCGACGTGTGCATTTCAGGGGTTTATACATGCATTACAAATGGTTATTTTGGAATGTGCTCCTGCTATTCTCAAGAAGGATCTGAAAGGAAAATCAAGCGAACCTAATTTGGTGGATGAAGAGGATGAGGACGACGATACCCCCAGTATACGTCCTGGTTCTATGAAACCCGTAAACATCTCAATGCCGCATGTCAAGTCTCTTGACAAGTCTCAGAAGGTATGATAACCACACCCAGTATAATATTCATATATATCTAGGCGACTACTATTAGTAGATAGTCATTATGACCTAGTATATCAGACATACAAGAACTCTAACGATACATGCTGTAACTAAACTTATTGATAGTCACTTATAAATAGACATTTTGCTTAGTAACTGATTACTCCTACTATTTCTAGCTGTTATCGATCTAAGAAGTACTGTATAGTTTGTCAAAAATAGACATTTTGCATAGTAACATGACGTACTTGATAGTCAATTATAAATAGACATTTTTCAAAGTAACCGACTACTCTAACTATTTCAAGCTGATATTTGATCTAAGATGTACTGTCTAGTTTGTCAAAAACGATACATGCTCTAATATGACATATTTGATAGTCAACTACAAATAAACATATTTGAAAGTAACTGACTACTACTAATATTCTAATTTTCAGGTGGCTGTGAAATCAATTTTGCCGGACGACGAGAATATTTTGGATGATACCGACTTGGAGCTGGATGATGATGTCCTGGACGAAAGTGTTAACTTGATTGCAGCAATCAACGACGGGGTTAAGTTTTCAAGGAAAACTTGGATTGGTGGTGAAAACGCAGGCGTTCATCTAAAGAATCCTAAGGCACCATCTACATCCTCCCGGAATACACCTTCGGACGGGGAGTTCGATTCTGCTTCGGCTGCGACAATTGATAAGGTTCTAGATCCCATTTCCATCATCGAATCCGAGATAAAAAGCTTTCGCGCAGATTTCGGTGATCTACGTACCGAAGTCTCTACCGCTCTGTCCACTTTTAAGCAACAACACCAGACTTTACCAGGGGCTTCATCGGTAGTCAAGCCACCTTCTCAAACAAAGACTAAGAAGAGGGTTAAATCAATTCCAATTCGCCAAAAGCATGTTAGGTTCCAACAGATTTCTTCTTCTGACGAGACTAAGTCATCAGATTCATCTGAAGGCGATGACAGTGATAAGGTAACCAAAAACAAGGAATCGGCCAGTTCTTCTACTGATGGCGACGTTGCTGCCCAAGAAGACAGTGTAGAGGACGAATGCGAGGGATCTCGTGATGCTGGAGACCATGAAAGCCAACCGCATGTTGGCGCTCACGATGTCCAAGATGATGCAACACTCGCGCAAAGTCAAATTGCTTCAGTGCTTTCTGATTTATCCGCAACTGTCCAAGTAAGTAGCCAACCAGTAATAGTTATATACGTCAACATAGTCATATACTTATGCTAGAAAAACTTGTTTTTCAGGTCAATGTAGATCCTTCCGAGAACCAGCCATTTGATCAAGTCAGTGAACCAAGCCGTGTGAACCCAGTTCATTCACCCGTTAACCATGCCAAGGAAGTCACGGATCAGGTATGTCTTTACTTTTCATATATTGTAAACATAGTCGACTTCTCGATAATTGTCTACTTTTACTCACAATATAGCAAATGGGAGACGACGGCCAAGCAAAAGATCAGATTGCTTCTGTGCTTTTTGATTTATCCGCAACTGTCCAAGTAAGTAGCCAACTAGTAATAGTTATATACATAAACATAGTCATATACTTATGATAGAAAAGCCTGTTTTGCAGGTCAATGTAGATCCTTCCGAGAACCAGCCATTTGATCAAGTCAGTGAACCAAGCCGTGTGAACCCAGTTCATTCACCCGTTAACCATGCCAAGGAAGTCACGGATCAGGTATGTCTTTACTTTTCATATATTGTAAACATAGTCGACTTCTTGATAATTGCCTACTTTTCCTCACAATATAGCAAATGGGAGACGACGGCCAAGCAAAAGATCAGGTTTGTCTAGCTAGTTGTCTACTTTACCTAAATAGAGAGTAGTAGTGTAGTATATGATGTTTCGATATATACTAGGAGTTCTTGGAGGAGCCCCCAAACCCCTACGAAGTAAACTTTGTTCACGCATCCGTCGGATCTCACTGTCAACAAGCACCTGTTGTGGCAACCGAGCAAACAGACGTCAACAAAGATGCCCCCCCTAAGGAGGTATTTACAGATATGCTAATTAATTACTATTTTCATCAAAAAGTCTCCTACTATTATCCTCACAAAGTCTCCTACTTTTTTATGTACATACTGTTTTGCAGGACACTCCGGAAGATGCCTTGACTGCTGTCGAAGAGAACCAAGTTATTGCCCCACTCGACCCTCGAGTCTCATCCCACGAGCAGATTTGAATTAATAGTCGTCTATTTTTATAAATTAGTCAACTAAGAATATGCCGTGCATCACCAACTTTTTCAAACACAAAATGTAGGTGTTGGGTGATATTGATCCTCCTGGTTGGTCTCTTGGTCTCACACAGGAAGAGAAGAATATGGCTCAAACCTCGAAGAAGGGTGAAGAAGCACAGCTACCTACTTGTAAGAGTAAACGACTACCCGTGCCTTCAACACAGATGTCCGACTTTGTAGTCCCTCGACCTAAGCGTGTTAAGAAGAATGTGAACCCATTACAGCTGTCTCACTTCTTTCCAACACCCAATTTTGAGCAAGTAATTCTCCTCCAAAATAGAATGAAGGACAATCGGTGAGTGACATATTATTGGTTGCTTTGCTTATGTTGTTGATAGTAAGTGTTAAATTCCCCAATATTTACCGCTTTTTATAGGAATTTGCCAAGATGGGATGGCGTAACCCTCTCTGTGAACATCTTGAAAGAGATCGTGGACTTAAAATTCCCGATTTCAGTTGTGGTAAACACTTTCCCAATAGTTGTCTACTCTCACTTTTTAGTATATGACTACTAATTTGTGTTTCATGTCTATGATAGTCTATCAACAGCATCATTAGGTTATTGCGTCATCAATTGTCGGAACTGAACGACGATCAATGCACTTACGATTTCGTTGAGTACACGTTTCTTCATGGCATCATTCAGCTCCATCAGCAGTTTACCAATCCCTCTAAAAAGAAACTTGTCGCACTCCCATCTGGTTCAGCTGCGTATGTGAAAGCGAGGCGCTCATGGTACACACAGGTCGCTCGCATTTATTGCCCCTACCAAGTCGACGACAGGTACTGGGTGGGCCTATGCACTACCCAGTAAACAATCTTAACTAATATAGTTACCTACCTAATAGTGAACTATTTTATGACATATATGCCTAACATTTGGGACTAGCTGACTACTAACTGACCGACTACTATGTACTTCATACCGTTGTTGTTTGCGACATTTTCCTCCGTTTGGTTGTTAACCACCAAAGGTGAGTCATTTCGTTCAGGAATCGCCACACCTTCATCCGAATCGCCTTCTGTTGTGACGCACAGGTTCAGCTGGTCGATATCTGCCCTCATCTCCACAAAAAGAGCCACTTCATCATCGGAAGACATGAAAACCGGTGGCGCGTCGTGACCGTCGTCCATCAGCATGTATGACGGCCACTGGAAGGTCAGAGTTACGCCCACATCTTCCTTGATATCCATTTTCTCTTTCACGAGCTTCACTACCTCACGAAATGTCATCCTCGCGCTAAGGAATACCGCTTTGGTATTCCCAGTCCGTTCCGTTAAGAAAGTCCACACGCCGTTGCTCTGTTCGAACCATTTTCCTTTCACCAACAACACCATTTGTCTTCCTGCCATCTACAACAACAAAACCAATGTCCAATAAGTATGTAACTACAAATTAAAAGTAGTCACATTAGTGGCGTACAAGTAGACAAATGGCAGGAAGAAAAACAAGTAGACAAACCCTAGGTAAATTGTTTACTAGCGGCGGATTATGTGAGTTGTTATCTTCTTCTCTATTTATTTGATGGTCCTGAGGGTCCCCTCCCTAAACCTATCCGTACAACTCTTACTACACGACAACTTATTTTGGGGATAAAGTTAACGTTGTTTGTGTTAAAAAGGGAAGGTAGCGTCTGTAAATTAGCAAGCTCGTGTGGTCCCTGTCCCGCTCAGAAAAAGCGTTGTCTACTTTTAGGGAGCAAGGGGTATACTGTAATTTCCCTCCTCCTTTTTTGGTTGACTTCTGTTACCAACTTAATTGACTGCTTTTCGCAGTCATTCGCCTAATTAGCGCTCGCAGAAGTAATATTGGTGCAAATCACCCTAAACTCTAGTACTTCCTTTTCCCCAAGTTTTGTATATATTTTTTTGATTAAAAAATTCTAAGTTTTATACTTGATTACATTTTAAAAAATTGCAAAAGGAAATCCAAAATCACTTTTTCGGCTTCAAATCGGCTACATCCACAAGAAAAAAGTTATTCGTAGTTTATTCATTCGCAACGTTTAACGTGAAGACTAAAAACAACATATCCACATTTTTGACAAGCTAAATTTATATTAGGTTCTGCATAATACATAGAAAATAAAAAATATTTAGATTTAAAACTAATATATATACTCAGTGGTGGAAGTATGTAGAATGAGTTGGGGGCAACTGTCCCCAATAAAAAAATAATTAAATGTAAATTGTTAACAATAATACTAGTTAATCTTATTAGATTATTTACAATTTATATTTTATAATTCAGAATTAAGAAATTAGTAATGATCAATATTTTTCATGAATATAATAAATAATCATTCCAAATAAATGATAAAGTTCAAAAAACATAAGTTTCATTATATCATAGTTTCGTTTTTTTTCTTTTACTTTTCAATCTAATAATTTTTGTTTAAAAAATAATAATTAGATTTTAAATTTATAACCCACGTAAATATGATCCATATAATTATATTTTAAATTAAGGTTCTACTAACTTATTTACAAAATATATTTTATAACTAGCACAACTAAAGAATAAAAATTAATCTGTATTATTTATAAATATGATAAATAATCTAAATGTTGAAAAATTCTAATTAAAACATAATTTTTATATTTTCACTTACTTTACTTTCCAATTTAATATTTTTAGATAAATTTATTTCATTTTTATTTTTATGTTTTTTTTGATTAAAAAATAAAATTTATTTTTATTAAATTGACACATGTTATGATCTCATAAATAATAATTTTACATATGTGTCATATTCACATCGAGGAGTTCAGATTTATATAATAAGACTTGGTAATATCTGCACCATATGCAGATAATAATATTATTAAAAAAAATTAACACAAATTTAGCTAAGTGATATGTTGTAAAATTATTTGTTCAAGTTTCTTATTGTTTTATATATAACTGTAATTGTATATATGTTGGATGTAACTAAATGATGTAAAGTGGTTGAGTTGACATTCAAAAACAAAATTAAAAATATAAAATTCATTATTATCTCAATAGTATATCTAGTTTTAGAATTTCTTTTTATCATTTATCTAATTTTGTATTTTCACTCGTCTCCGGATTGAATTCATATCTAGTGATATCCGCTCTTTAAATCAATTTTGAAAAAGATAGTGGCAGTCACAATATAATCAAACAAATCTTCCAAACGAGGAATGAGAAAGCGGTACCGAACAGTGACCTTATTGATGGCAAGGCTATCAACGCACATCTTCCATATGCTATCTTTTTTGGGAATCAACAACGCCGGTACAGCACAAAGACTGAGACTCTCTCTAATATGTCCCTTGCGCAGCAGATCCTCAACCTGTCGCCGTAATGCCTCATGCTCATGAGGACTCATCCGGTAATGCAGACGATTCGGCAGCTTTGCACCGGCACAAGGCTAATACGGTGTTGAATGTCACATAACGGTGAAAGTGCCATCGATAAATCGTTGGGAAACACGTTGGAGAACTCGTCAATAACAGCTACAAGATCAGGTGCAACCATCGCAGAAAAGACTCGTGAAGACGAGAATGGTAACAGTGCAAAAGCCATACCCTCAAGTTGCAGTTCTGACTTAAAGGCAGAATACAAACATATGAGCGTTGTCAAGCGCTGGTGAATATATAATGGTGGTGGGGGCAGAGATGATTCCGGAGGAGCCGGCAACACTGTATCGCGTGAAGGAATGAGCAAAATCTGATGTGTCTCCATATGAAGCTATATGTATTCTTGGCTCCGTCGTATATGATACAATGGCCAAACTCCCAAGGTCGACCCAGCACAAGTGACTGACATCCATCGGAGGCTTCAGAGCTACATCACAGTATGTGCGATCTCTGTAATATGGCCCAATTGAGAAAGGCACTAGAACACACTGTGTAATACGTACGTGAACACCTTCTTGCATCCACCCAAGTGTATACGGTGCTGGATGGTTTTCGCGAGGAATGTCCAATATGTCCACAAAAGCCTCCGCTATGACATTGCGACAGCTCCAGAGTCAACAATGAAACTGTAGACACGGCCCTTGATTGTACACGTCGATCTGAAAATGTTGGTGTGTAACCACTATGATGATGCGTGGGCCTAGGGTTGTCGTTTTTTCAAGCTCATTGGCCCTAAAGTTTTAAATTTATAAAATCATAGTGTCTGCAAGTGCACAGATGTACGTTGTATGAGTTAGGATGTTGATCCACATGGAAGATGTCTAATATGCAATAAACAACAAACTGAGAAAGTACGCAAAGTCAGAAACTCATGGGGGTTTGAGATTTTTGGTTAAGAATCTTAAAATAAACATAATCTAATATTTACGGGAAATAAAATGTAATGCAAATGATCTGTTAAAGGATGTTGACTCAAACTATAGACTCTAACCTCATAGGTGGCGATTTAGACTTCTCCAGTTTACTCTAATCGATGTCAACGCATTTCCAATTAGCTTTCGGGCGATTTATCTTCATCTATTTATGGGATCTGCGTGGAATTGGAATAAACATGTGTATGATTATCCAACTCTTGCCATCTTCATCAACTAATCACTCAAATCTGACAATTAACTCTCGCTCTCATGCCAGAAATAAGATCATGCATTAACTATTGAATTCGTCTGCTCACATCTTCTCTACAGGTAGCTCTCGACTCCTGTAGCGACTATATATGCTCTTCACCTAGGTATGGATAATCTGATACAGCACTCTCGTGGCTCTGATCGATCCTAGACTCAGAGAATATGTCATGACTCTACTCTCATGCAATATGAACAACTTAGAAGAGATGAGATCCAGAATATGGTCTAGAAACTTAGAAATCGTAATCGAACATATATGCCTATCGATGACTGTTCAACAACTTGACTCTCTGGAAAATATCTACATGATGCAAAGAATGATAAAAGACTTGAAAGAATGCAAAAGATGAAACAGAAATTTTAATTAGTTAAAAAGGAGAAAGAACAATGGATCCAGGGAAAAATCTCCTTCTCCATTGCCTAACCCTAGAAAAACAAAGTTTGGTGGCTCAAAATCTCATTACAGGAGCACACACCTGTTTAGGGCTGCTAAGAAAGGTATTTATAAGTCCTAAGGTCTTCCAGTTCTCATTTAGGGCTTCTCTGAAGAAGAATGGAGAAATGGGCTTTGATGTTGGGGCTTGTGGCTCAGATATGGTGTACCAGGGGTGAAAGTCTTCCGGGGCAGGTAAAACACTTGTTTGCCGCGGGTGAGAGTCTTCCGAGACTGGTGAATTTTAGTTAACTTGTTCTCCACATATCTTTTGATTGCACCGTTGGATCTTCTTGATGTAAAGTGATATGGAAAGTTGGTTATCTCCTCTTGAATGTCTCCAAATTTGAGCTTGATCAGACGGTGAGAAAGTTTTCATTTGAGGCTGAACTTTTGACGGTCTGACTCTGAGCTAAAAATGTGTGATTTCTTCTATTTTGCCATCTTTTTCCCTTAAGTTTTCTGAAAAGAGCCTTGAAACTAAAAATATAGAAAAAAATCATAATAAAAATTTCTAAAACTGATTAAAATCTTTGAAAAAGCATTTGAAATCAATGGTGAAAATAAATATAAATACAGTGTTATCACACTGCTCGTCTTGTCGTCGTGGTATTACGCACGAAAGTCGGACAACCAACATTTGCCCTGTATCGCCATGAGTGGAATTACGACCAACCAACGTAGGATTCGTACGCCACATCGTCGGCTTCAGCAGGATCTTTTAGGAGAAGTCCTCGCCGATTCTGGTTTGGACAAGCGATATGTCGATGACCTGGTTCACCGCAGGAATAACACCTAAATGCATTTGGTCTCGTCGAACATTGCAACTCTGGAGCAGTATCATCGCTCGCTGTTGTGGCAGGTGGTGTTGAACGCGAACTCTTTGGAAGTGGCGCCTGAACTTAATTCCTGCAATTGCGTACGCATATACTGCGGCAGACAAGGAGAAGCTCAAAATTGTTGCTCGAAGGACGCTGCACAGCGGTGAGCTTCAGCCAGGGTGGTACGGTCAAACTGCGACAAAGCATTCAGAGCTGAGGTCGTAAACCTCCAATGAAGCGAGAGACCAACTGTGTCTCACTATCCCGAATATCTGTTCGAGTCAGCAACAAAGAAAACTCTTCCGCGTAATCTTCCACAGAATGAGTCCCCTATTTTAGGTTCTGCAATTTGGTGTATTGCAGTCGCTCGTAGTTATGAGGAAGAAAAGTCAACCGCAAGTGCTTATTAAGCTTCTCCATGTTTGAATTGGATCTTTACCCGTACAACTGTGCGTCGTCTTCACCTGCTTCCACCAAGACGCTGCGTGTCCACAGAACTTCATTGCAATAAGTGGCACTCACTGGTTAGGAGAAACCTGCTTGAAGTCGAGGATTTCGTCCACGGTCACCAGCCAATCAAGGAGGGCATCACCTCGTATACCACTGTGAAACTCTTGGATGTCAATTTTGAAGCTTGGTTCCCAGTGATTGTCAACATGATGATGATTGGCATCACAATCATTACCACGTTTGTTGTTACCAAACAGGTTATCTTCTTCTCCTGTCTCGTTATCTGCAAACAATGGATTGTGACAGGGAAACTGCTGCACCAACATCTCTCCCAACTCGCGGATCAAATCGTAGATTGTTGGTTGGATGTTCTTTTGAAACACCAACAGAATTTGATGAAACTCTGCACTGTTGGGGCGTTGGTGGCATTGGTGTTTTTCTTTGGAGGCATCTTCGACGAGACAGTACACAATTCCCAGAACGTTCCTTGTCTGATACCAACTGATAGAGGAGTGGAAGTTTATTTCAACGACTGATCAACGCAAGCTCGATCCCAAGTCGAAATGGGTTGAGATAGCGATCGAAATAGTTAGCTAGATCAACAGATTTTATGGATATTTTCCATAGTGCTTGAAAAGCTTTTAATTTCAATTCAAAGTCAAACGTATTTTACAGAAGTCCTAATTAAACTATTTATACAGCTCAGGGAAGATCTCAACAAGATCCCCACATCCTTATCCTAACATGATTTTGAGATATCCTAATAACAATCAGAAATAAACGAAAACAAATAAAAGAGACTGATAAGTTTTTTTTGCGTGAAACCTAATCTCTGTATAATATACTGCATCAAGCTGGCATCCAACAAAAATTAAAAAAACGTAAAATCTATTATTCATTCAAATAGTAGTTTTAGTTTTTTTTTTTCATTTACCTAATTTTGTATTGATTCTTTGTTTAATAACTAATTTTCTTTGTATTCAATCTAAAATATCACAAAATTCTAATTATATATCTGGAGAATTATTCTTTTTTTTTCCAGGAAAGAGGATTTCCTCATTTGATTATTTATTTATTGTTTTTAATCTTTATTATATTATTTCTATTCTATTTGGTTTGAGTTCTCCAGTCTTGTAAATTTTTTTTTTATGGATTAATTTAACAGTTAAAAAGATAATCCTTTGATATTTCACCATTGTGACTGGTCATATAAATTTCATAAGGGTCGTTTGAGTTATTTTGGGTACTTTAAAGTTGAAAGAACTACAAGAAATAAAGGGTAAAAAAGGTTGGAACTTGAAAAGGTTTTTGGGAAATCGACAAAAACGACAGCGTTTCCATACCAGTAAATGAAGAATTAGCTAGCTCTTTAACCCTTTTTTGCAGTCTCCAAAGATCAATTAAATGCTTTTTAAATTAAAGGTAAAAAAAACAAAAACAAAAAAACGATTCCATTTCTTCTTCTTCTTCCTCTCGCTTCAGTGGCGGTTTCAGTCATCATTCTTCAACTTTTCCTCTACCTCCCTCTGTTTTCTTTGTTTTCTCGTTCTTTTTGCAATGGATAATATTCGCGTGAAGCAAGAGAACCTAACAACTCCTATTATCCCGACTTCGAAACCCGCCGGGAACAGAATCACAACCTCTGTTATCAATCTCTCTAGCAGCAACGAAGACGACGGCTCCGACGATAAACCCGACGAAATCGCCGACGCAGAAAGCGCAGACCGAACCGGCGAATCTTCTCATGGTGTTTCTAGAGCTCCCCCCGTCGCTGGTGAGAAGAGGGCGCGAAGTAGTGCTTCTACAGATTCTCCGGCGAAGAGGCTAGCAGTTATGATACTGGACGAGGAGGTAGACGATTGGTCTGGCCAATCGAATCCACCAACGGGACAATCGATTGTGGCTGTTCCGGCGACTCCTTACACCGTCGTTCCGCCTGCTTCGTCACATGCTTCGTCACCGTCTTGCAAGCAATTCTGGAAAGCTGGGGATTACGAAGGAACAGGCGGTGGTGGTTGGGAAGTTTCTGCAGGTGTTTTCAATGGAAAATTTGTTTATAGACTCTCTCTATTGAAGACTGGATTTGAATGGAAATGATTGGGGAATGATAATGGGAATTAAACAAACCCTAATTTTTTTCAGGTGGATATGATCATGTAAGAGTCCATCCCAAGTTCTTGCACTCTAATGCAACTAGTCACAAATGGGCTCTTGGAGGTACTTTATTTTTGGAGTGGAATTTTTGATTCAATGCTATATTCAACAATGTTTTGATTAAGAATGTTTTTCATGTGCAGCTTTTGCAGAGCTTTTGGATAATGCTTTGGATGAGGTGAGATGTTTCTCTTTTTAAATTTCTTTCTTGTTTTGGAAGTAGTACAAAGGTTTAAAGTGCATTTTAGACTTTATGTTTGTGTTTGGTAGTAATATATTTTTTCCATCTTTGGACTATCAGGTTCACACTGGAGCTACATATGTTAATGTAGACATGCTCATCAATAGGAAAGATGCAAGCAAGATGGTGTTGATTGAAGGTATATTGTTGATTTAGTGTTTTTTTGTGTGTGTTCCTACAGTATTTGCTCTTTCTGTTGTATCAAGTGTGTTTACGATGTTTCACTATGTTTGTTTGAAATGTAGATAATGGTGGTGGGATGAATCCTGAGAAGATGCGACACTGCATGTCTCTCGGATACTCTGTCAAGAGCAAACTTGCAAACACCATCGGACAGTGTAACGACTCTTATTCTTGTAAGATGTATATCAAATGCTTACATCAAGAGTTTTAATCATTACTTTTCTTATGTAGATGGAAATGGATTCAAGACTAGTACAATGAGACTCGGAGCTGATGTTATTGTATTCTCACGTTTCCGTGGAAAAGATGGAGATAGGTTCGTAATCCCTGTCAGCGATCTTGCCTTTTATAATGATTTTTGCCGGATTATATCTTATTTATTGAAAAACATTAAAACCTGCTTTACATTGTTCTGTTTACTTGATGTTGGTTATAGCTTTACACAGAGCATTGGGCTGTTATCTTATACATTTCTGAAGAGCACAGGAAAAGAAGATATTGTTGTACCCATGGTAATGTACCTTAATTTAACTCTACGGCATTGATAGCTTTACACAGAGCATTGAACATTGTTTCACCTTCTTTTATCTATTAAGATTACGCTTGGTAATCTGGAATGGTTTGTTAGTCATGTGATTCAATTGCAAGCATACTTAAGTTACTTAGACACTGTTTCAGACCATCTCAATCACTGTTGAAAGAGATGTTATGCAGAAAGTTGTTTACCCTACTCTCTTTTCTGAGATGAGCTAATTCTGCAGAGAAAGCTATCATTATCCTAGCTTGTTTTGGATACTTGCTGTATTCGTGGTTTACAACTTTCATATAATTAGGCATCGAATTCCTAGAACCAGGACATATGTCTTTTTTTTGATAATGGTATGTCGACATTTCTCCCATTTGATTAAAATAGCTTCATGTCAGAACATATGTTATTTTGAGTTTAGCATGCTTTTGTAGCGAGTTTATCTCTTCTAATCTTCTTCTTTTGATGATTCAAATGAAAGCTTGACTACGAAAGAAGAGATTCAGAATGGAGTCCAATATTACGGTCTTCGGCCAGTGATTGGCTTAAGAACGTGGAAACAGTTGTTCAATGGTCGCCGTTCTCTTCTGAAGATGATCTTCTTTCCCAGGTAAAACTCTTTCCTTTAGTTCCAATAGAGCTTTATTACCAAAGGAATGTATAGAAAACCAAGGAGTCTGTCGTAGTGATTCTTGTAAATAATTCAGTAGCTATGATTTATTTGGTTTGTGTTTTCTTTCAATCTTTTGATGTGGGTTCTCAAACCTTACTACCTCTTTACTAATATTTTTAAAATATTTCCACTAATCTATTTCTCTGGCTATTGTAGTTTAATCTGATGAAGGATCATGGCACAAGGATAATCATATATAACCTCTGGGAAGATGACGAAGGAATGCTGGAACTTGATTTTGATATTGATCCACATGTATGTGTTTTTTACTGCTGAATATACATAGATTATGATCTACAACGAGTCGAAAGCTTCTGTATTCATATATTTAACATATGGAATGTTGCAGGATATCCAACTTAGAGGGGTCAATCGGGATGAGAAAAATATCGATATGGCTACTCAATTCCCTAACTCTAGACACTTCCTGACATACAAACACTCACTCAGGGTATAAAAATTCTCTCCATCTTTCCGTAATATCGGCAGTCACGCACAGTTGAAGATGTTTAGTTTCTAAGTTAGTTTGGTTCAGCCTCCTGCTACTATCACTGAGATGGTTCTTTAAAGAACGATACAGGGGGATACAATGGTGGTTTTGAAATCAATAGCTCAATTTTGAATGATTATGAATCTTGTTTAGGTTGGCTAATATTTGTTACCTTTTGCCTTGTTCGCAGAGTTATGTATCTATCCTATACCTAAGAGTTCCACCTGAGTTCCGTATCATTCTCAGAGGAAAAGATGTTGAGCACCACAATCTTGTCAATGACATGATGCTGACAGAGCAAATTACTTATCGGCCAAAAGATGGTTCCGCTGGATTATCTAATTCCACAAATGTATGCTTTTCATATCTTACTTATACTTGGACTTTCTTCCTGTAATTTTATTAAAAGAATTAACGTAGCTTCTAAATATAACTAATATCTGGTTCTGTTTCTAACAGATGTCTGCTGTAGTGACCATTGGATTTGTTAAGGATGCAAAACATCATGTTGATGTTCAAGGCTTCAATGTTTACCACAAAAATCGCCTTATTAAGGTTTCTTTTTCTTTTGCCTTATACTGTCTTCGTTCCTGTCTGCTTTTCCCATACTATTACCCTCAAATTTCTTGAGAAGAAAATTAACTCGATGCCTTCGATGATTATTGTTCCACTTGTTTCGTCAGCCATTTTGGAGGATATGGAATGCAGCAGGAAGTGATGGTCGTGGGGTCATAGGTATTGTTCTTTAACTGTAAGATCTAATATTCGAGTAGCCTTTTTAATGGGAAGTCTAATGCTCGTTTATTCTGTTACTAAGGTGTCTTGGAAGCTGATTTCGTTGAGCCTGCTCATGATAAGCAAGGTTTTGAGCGTACAACAGTTTTGTCTAGACTCGAGGCACGGCTAGTTCAAATGCAGAAGACTTATTGGTCTGATGCTCTTCTCGTGCTTTTTAAACTCAAGCGTGTTGCTTCATTGATCTCTTGGGGCTTATGTTTTCGTTCTGCTTTTACTCAGGAGATCTAAGTGTCACAAAATCGGATATGCCTCAAGGCAAGGCAAAAAGTCAGTAAAGGATTCAGAAAACAGAGGTACGATATCTTTTTACTGGTTTTTAACATCGAAGTTTTTAACTTGTGCTGAACAATCTCTTGGAAATGTTTTCAACATTGTAGAATCATCACCAGAATATGTTCCTAAAGGATCGGCCTCATCAAGGAAAAGAACTGCCGCTTCGAGCTTCAAAACTCCAGCTGCAGCTTCCGAAAAATTCGGCTCAAGATCAAATGTGAATCTAGAAGGAAAAGGATCTGTTAAATCAGAGAACGGTGGTAAAGTTGAAAACACCTCTTCCAAGTCTAACAAACGAGCAAAGCCTCGAGGAGCTCGTGCTGGTGCTGTAGAGTTAACCAATAGTGATGATGATTCTTCTTCTTCTGAAAGAATTGTCACTGAGCTTCCCGAGAAGGTACATGCTCCTTTTTTTTCTCTCCCTATCTATACGCTTTCTCTGGTGAATTGGATTGAGAACATAATCTTTTTGTACATCTTCTTGCAGAGTTCCGAACTACACAAGCCTCGGTCTGGTTCACGTACCCTTAGTCAATTAGAACAAGAGAATGAAGAGTTAAAAGAAAGGTTTGTCACCATACTCACCATGTTAATTTGCCTATACGATTCATGTTTCTCACTGGAAGCTGTGTATTCTTTATCTCAGTCTAAATCAAAAAGAAGAAGTTTTCCTGTTATTGAAAGACGAGCTGAAACGTGAGAAAGAGCTACGCAAGAAACTTGAAGCCGAGGTAAGTTCTACTATGTCTGCCTGCAAACCTATGACAACACTCTTAACCAATGGATTCCTTTTGGTTATTGAAGTTACAAACAACAAAAGACGAGTTAGAAGAAACGAAGAAAGAACAAGATAGTTTAATCCAGATATTCGCTGAGGATAGAGACAGACGCGACAAGGAAGAGGACGATCTCAGACTTAAGCTAGAGGTTTCTCATCTGTTCAAAACCACATTTCTCTTCAATATTCTCTCTGATTCAGGAAACGGAATGAGTAAGCTTCTGTGTGGTTGCAGGAGGCGATGCGAGCGTTGTCAGATGGAAAAAAGGCTCGAGGGAGATAAAGCATTGAAGAACGGAGACGGGATGTAGCTACATTGAGGATAATATTGACTCATTAGGTTTTTTTTTGTTTTAACATCCATGTTTTTTTTGTGTGGTGATAGTGTGTTGTCTCTGACCCAACCACACCGGCGTTAGTGGAGAAGTAGGATAATTGTAGTAGATTGGGGTTTTGGTTTTATGCAACTTTGCCTAAAGTCCTTTTCTCCTTTCTCAATCTTTTTGGTAGAGAAGTGGGATATTCTCTATGTTTATCCTTTTTCAATCTTGTTTCATTGAATATTTGAATATCTCAGAAGAATCGGTGGTGCCTTTTTTTTTTTTTTTTTAAAACCACTTTTGTATTGCTGCAAAGACAACTTTTGCAATGTGTAAATTTGACATATTTCTCATCCAAGCGTCGCCACATCTAGCTCTGAGATAACTCGAGAATAATCACACGGACTATGAGACAACAGTATCTTTCTAATTCACGTACCATCCAAGAAACTCCAACCACACATTTGGACTTCCATCACACAAATGCAATGTGGAATTTAACCTTGGTTCATTCTCTTGGCGGATGTTGATTATTTTTTTGGAGGATTACTACACTAACCTTAGAAAGTATCTATATTATTTGTTCGACGCACTTTTATTTTTTTTACAAAACTAACCTAGCATATCCAAAACACTCTTTTCGCCTTTGTTGAAAAAAACTTTATTACGAAAATGCCATTACTTTTTTAATGCCACGTAGGTAGATTTATGCGCTCAAAAATTAATAAGTCTACCTAGCAATAGCGGTAGACTTATGAAAATTTGGTCAACGCAGAAATTTTGGTCAACGCAGAAATTTTGTTGGTAGAGTTATTAGGGCGATGGTAGATTTATTCAAGAGTTGGTAGAGTTTTTAAACTGTTGGTAGACTTTTTTTGGTAGAGTTTTGACGATGAGAGGTAGATTTATTATGTTTCGGTAGATTTGTTGTTATGAATGGCAGACTTGTCAAAGTTTTGGTAGACTTGTTAAAAAAAGCGTTGACTTTCTCGCATAGTTGACTTTTTCGGTAGATTTATTGACAATGAAGTAGATTTATTTTCTGAGTTGGTAGACTTATTTCCTTTAGCGGTAGATTTATGTGAAAAAAGTTGTCAATACGTGCGGTAGATATATCTGTTTAATGGTAGAGTTATATATAGTTGGTAGAGTTTTCGCTATTGTAGTAGATTTGTTTGACTTGTGGTAGACTTATTTCACTTAAAATTCATTCCGGTGAGTGGTAGATTATATGTTACATGAGGTAGACTTAAAAACTGTTGGTAGATTTATTTGTTTTGTGGTAGATATGTTTGTTTTGTGGTAGACTTATATTTTAAATAAATTTCATTCTGATTTGTGGTAGATTAATAATGACATGAAGTAGACTTACAAGATGTTAGTATATTTGTTTGTATGTTTAGTAGAGTTTATGTAATCTGGTAGACTTATCGACCGTATGGTAGACTTCTTGAAATAATAATGTGGTAGATTAATTAAGTTTGGTATTTACAGAGATAACCTTGATCTGGTAGACATATGACATGCTTATGGTAGACTTGTTTATATGGTAGAGTTATTTTTCATGCTTGAGGTAGACTTAGTTGTTAATGTTTGGCAGACATTTGACTTTTTGGATTGAAATTACTTTTTTGTCCTAAATATATTCTCCTATCTACGAAAAAACCAGCGGTTTGGTAGACTTGTTTTGGAATGTTGTATGTTAAACAGGTTTCGTACATATGGTAGACTTGTTCCATGGTTATATTTGACTTGGTTTTGTTACCATTGACGTTTTCTTTGCATGAGTTTGCTAAGATTATGTCGGTTAACTGTGATTCAATCACAGATGAGTATTGGTCATTACGATATAGATGCCATAATAAATGATCAAAAATTTATAACATGAATATTATTTCTATGATATATCTCTAAGATAACTTTGTTTTTCATATTAACTTTGAACATATATGTCATATTTGTAATAACCATCTCTTAACTTATGATCTTTTGATTTTATTTTTGAATATTTGTTACATTTAACTCTATTTACATAAACTTTTACAACATCACAATGTCAAATGATTTCAGTTATGATATACATCATAGTGAAAGTAAAGAAATAAATTAAATTGAATAATAACATTACTAGCAAATGTGATAAAAATGTGAAATGTCTGGATCAATGTTTTACGACAAATATAATTTGTAAACAAAAATATTATCATTTAAAATCTAATTATCATTTTTACAAATTCAAATATAGATATACAAAACAAATCTATCAAATGTAAATCTACAATTCATAGTAAAACATGTCGGATCGGTGCTGGATATCCCTTCAAAGATTTGTTCACCATGGCAAAGCCCATAATCTGTCAGAAAAAAATAAACAAATATTGCTATTCATATATAAAATTCAAATATATACGACTGATAAATCTACCATAAATAACTAATAAATCCACCAAACACATATCATTTTTCAAATAAGTTACCATTAAATGACTAATAAATCTACCAAATCACATCGTTTTACAAATAAGTCTATCATTAGATGACTAATAAATCTACCAAATGACATCGTTTTTTAAAATAATTTTACCATCAAATAACTAATAAATCTACCAAACCACATTTCGTTTTCTAAATATATCTACCATCAAATAACTAATAATCTACCAAACCACATACCGTTTTTCAAATAAATCTACCATCACACATTATGAACTTTACAACAAAAAAAATACAAAATCGATTTCCAAATATATCTACCAAACGTACCTGAAAAAAAAAATTTATGCCGCCGACAACCTCCACAACACCACCATTCCATCGAAACAACGTCTATCCACTGCGGTTGTGCGCGACGCAGCGAGAATGCTGCTTAAGAGTCACCGCCAACCGCCACATCTCCATAGTTTATCGTTGATATTAGATCCAAAAACCCAGATCTAGAAAAAAATCAAAGAATTCGAAAAAATGAAAAAAAACTCACATAATAGCAGAATGAATTGTAGAAACCATGGGAAGATCTAGATCTCCGAGCTTGGAAGCGTTGGAGGCTTCTTGATACAAAAAGTCGGTAGAACTAGTTGTGTTTTTCTCGATCTGAAACATTGAAGCTTTGAAGTTCATAAAGAATACATATTCATACAACAAAATTTAACAAAACAAAAGAAAAGATAAAGAGGAGAGCAAGAGAGGAATGAAAAGATTAAGAAGAAGAGCAGCTCCATGGGAGAAAAAAAACGGCGCATGAGAAAGAAAGAGAGAAGAAGATGAATTAGGGTTTCTTTTTTTTTTAGTTTTTGGTTTTGTATTTTTATTTTTTTTTGCTTTTTTGTTTAAAAAAATGCTTTTTTCGTCAAAAAAAATTTCGATTTTTTAAAAAGTTTTTTTTCAAAATTAAAGTTTTTTTCGAAAAAAAAAAAATTATAAAAAAAAAATCATAATGGCATTTTCGTAATAATATTCAACATCTGGATAAAATGGATTTAAACCAACTTTGTAAGGTTAGTCTAGTAAGCCCCTCAATATGTTAGGCTATGTTTGTCATTTCATTAACCTTAAAGGTTAGTCTGAGGAATTTTCACTTATTTTTTTTGTTCTTTAATTTGATTTTAGTTCCATTTTTTTTAATACGGGCCATGAGGCCTGTAAGCAATATTTTGGTTTCTCCTACTTCAGCACATTTAACTAGATTCTAACATGTCTGTTCTTATGGGAATATTTTTGTTTAAATCAAATTTTAGGGAGGATTGCTATTACAACTTTTAAAATAGCTGGAATTAGTGAAACAACCAAACATTTTCAAAATTAGTAGAATAATTGTACATTTTTAAAAAACTCCGTTTCTACTTTCGCAAAGCTTTGGTGAGAAGAAATGTATTTACAAAAATACTATTATTATTTTTAAAAACGGTAGACTTGATTTTTTTGGTAGATATTTCAAACTTTGATAGACTTGTTGGTCATCAAAGTATATTTAATTTCGTGTTGGTAAATATATGAAGTTGAGTTGACTTTATGAGGTTTGGTTGACCAAAATCCATAGACTTATTACCTTTCATAGTAGACTTGTTAGACACGAAAATAAACTTATTTTTAATAAATTTAAATCGACTACAATAAGTTTTTTTCTTTGTGATAGTTTTGTTGTATGCATGGTAGATCTAAATACTGATAGTAGATTTGTTTTGTATTAGTAAACTTGTTTTATTTGTGGTAGACTTAAAAGTTCTGTGTTAAATATGTGATAGACATATAGGACTCTGTAATAGATATATTTGCTGGTGGTAGACTTTTTTTTTTTAAAATAGATTTATTTGATAATATAGTAGACATATAACTCTTTTGGGAGCTTCAATGTTGGTAGACATATTAAAAAGTTGATAGATATATTGAAAATTGATAGACATATTTACTTCACTTAACGGTACATCTAATGATATGAAATGACCTCTTTATCCAACAGTTATTATTGAATTTTCCTGTTCCAACCACCGCATCCAACTACATCTAGGGTAGACGCCGCCATTATTTTCGTCTCTTTACCTCTTTTGTTGTTTTTCCTCTTTCTACCTCATCCTCTATCATGTCTTCTTCTTGCATGGTGGATATATTTTTAGTTTGTGGGAAATGAGAATTTACGAAAACTCGGTATGTGTTCTTGGTTGATTAGAGCAAATGATGTCTAGTTGTAGCTGTTGATCGGAAATCAGGGTCGGTGATTTTCTACAAATTTTTTATGAAAATTTTGGATTGGATCAGCACCGATATGACATTCAATTGAGTTATATGTTGTCAAAGAGATACATGCAAAAGCTACCCAAAGATACACCACCGGTTTTTGTAGCAAGTACTCGACAACTTGCTGAATTTTTGCATTACGTTGAAAACGAGACGATCTATCTATGCGTCAAGATTTGTGTAAAGGCGTCGACTGAATTTAAGAAAGAAGATGCTGATGAGCTGAATGGGAAAAGATATAAATCTTGCAAGGATGAAGACAATGAAGACAATGAAGTTGAAGAAGATGATGAAGATGGAGAAGAAAAAAGGTTCC